TCCGAATTAGAGTTGGAAACTTCAGATAGTTCCAACTTGCTTAAAACCACTCAAGTAAAGTCCAAAAGAATGGTAGGCAGTGTATCAATGAATATTGCTTACAACCCTGTCAAAATATCCAGACATCTGGATCAAAGAGATCCATTTGCAAAGAAAATGGATCCACTGAAAACAAAGGCGAGGAGACCATCACAGACTGCAATAAATAGTTGGAGAGCTGGGCTGAACACTAACCCTGACTTTTACTCTAGGGAGAACATGGTCACAGTGGAAGCTCTAGACAGCACAGAAATGTGACACTTATCTACCACAGAAGAACTGGATATTGAACCAGTGTAAAAGTATCTTAGCAAAGATATGTGCAACATTCCACATGCTGATGCCACACTGTCTGAATTCAGACACAGGAAACCGACACTCCTGCAGCATCTGCACAGTCCCCCCGTTTCTGTTGAAGGGAGGGGACTGTGTATTAAGATGTGTGTGATACAGAGACTGTGACTTTGTACAAGAACAAGGGTCACTGCTGCATTTGTAACAACTATCATGGTATCTCCTCGCTGAGCAATGTAGGAAAGGTATTTGTCTTTGGTGCCCTTATCAGAATTTCAGACCATAGCTGAAACATTTCTCCAAAGCTTGAGCAGTTTTAGAACCGGAGGATCAACAATTGGCCATAACCTTCTCAAACCAGAGAAATGCTGGGGACAAAGGAGACCATTATACACAGCCTTCATCAATCTCACCAAGGCATTCAACCATGTGAGCAGAGATCGTCTATGTAAGCTGTTGGAGAAAACTGGTTGCCCATTGAACTCAATGTGATCTCCTTGTTCCATCACAATACAGCGGGTAAAGTCAGCAATGCCCTTGAGCAACATCAGAAGCCATTAGTCCATTGTGGGCTCAAACCATGCTGTGTCCTGGCAGTGACACTCTTTCACATATTCTTCTGTTTGCTGCTGTTAAATGTCCTCAGGTCATCTACAGAGGGTGTCTACTTAAATACCAGAACTAACAAGAAGCTGTACAGCTTTACCCACAGGAGCAGAGCCCAGGAGAGGAGGCTGCACATGGCACTAATCACCAGGGCCCATGTCTTCAGGAGAGCTGGGCTCAGGCACCAGCCCCTGTCTTAAGTGGCCATCTCATACAGTGGGCATGGTGAACGAGTTCCACTTACCCTCCAGATGCCTGGGTTCAACTTGCAGCTTTTGTCTTACTCACAGCACTGCCCTTTTATGCAAGTTCATAGAATCCCTACAGTGTGGAAACAGGCCCTTCGGCCCAACAAGTCCACACCGACCCTTGCAGCATCCCACCCAGACCCATCCTCCTATAACCCACACACCCCTGAACACTATGGGCAATTTAGCATGGCCAATCCACCTAGCCTGCACATCTTTGGATTGTGGGAGGAAACCGGAGCACTCGGAGGAAACCCACGCAGACACGGGGAGAACGTGCAAACTCCGCACAGACAGTCGGCCGAGGCTAGACTCGAACCTGGGTCCCTGGCGCTGTGAGGCTGCAGTGCTAACCACTGAGCCACCGTGCTGCCTCAATGTAGATGACCATAACCTTAGGCTGCATTGAACGTCCCAACTCAGAAGCGCTGGCCATTGTCACTGATATGACAGGGGTCCTGAACAGGGCACCCAAATTAGCTACCTCTAGGTGCAGCAGTCTCAGTGCAGCTCCAGGCAATGGCCAGTCACTGTATAGTGTGCAAAGCCCACAAGCAGCTCAGATAAAAAGGATGCAACTACAGATTATTCGTTTTTAAAAATTATCAGTTTATGGCTCAGTAAGTTGCTTATGTTTTGTTCAGACTTAATCTTCTAAAAAAGTTATATTTGATGTTGTGCCAATGTAAAACCAGGTCTCAGGCAATTACTGCTGGGTTTCATGCTGAAAAGGAATGAGATATTGACAAGAAGTCAGATTACTTTTTGGAAGGCTGGCAAATGGGGGAGTGAGTTTTGCTGAGAAATGGGAATGCCAAGTTCATTTGGCAGCTTCTGTGCAAAGAGAAACAGATGTCTTTCAGAAACAATGCGAATCATGGATCTGAATAATTGACTTTGTTTCTCCATAGATGTTCCCTGACCTGCTGAGTATTTCCAGCATTTTCTGTTTACTTTTAACATTTCTAGCAACTGTAACACTTTGCTTTCCTACTATATCATCAATGCTGGGCATTTGTAAGTGTGGTTTGTTTTAACTTAAGATGAGAAAATGGTTACCACTCAATGCAAAGTGTAAGTTCTCTATTAAAGCATGGTCAGCAATAACACATTACTGCAGGTGAGTTGGCTGGTGCTAAATTAATGCAGGGTTTGCTATTTTTACACTTAGAAATGAAACCAGGAGTTGTACCAATAGAGCTCAACATATGCTGATTTTTACATGGGATTATTATTTTGGTACTTGTGGGGTTCAGGCCTAGCAGATATTGCTGTCTGGATATGACATAAGGACAGGTTCATAGAAGCAGAGCTGATTTTATGACATGAATAACCAAGCGGTGTGTAATTTTCTGACAAAGTTGTGGTTTTAAAATATATCGTACTGAAATCTGGGCTTGCAATGAGTTTTATAATTAGAGGGACAAAAGTGTAGTTGAACCTGAACGATGCTGTTCTACCCCAGTTCAGGGCACCAGAGGATATGAAGGCTTTGTAAAGGGTTCGGGAGATATTTCCTAGCATGGTTTCAAGCATGAGGGATTACAAAGAATCTTGGGTTGTTCTTCCTAGAGCCAAGAAGTCTGAAGGGATTTGATGCCAATGGATAAAATTATGAATAGTTAGCTGGAATATATAAAGACTGGCTCCAATCCAATGATCCAGATTTAACTTCATTTAAATTGGTTGGCAAAAAACCCAGGGGTGACATGAGGACAAAAGTTTTACACAAATAATGGTTAAGCTTTGGAATGCACTCCCTCGCTGATATTATGATGGATATGGGGGTTCAAGTTGGAATTCAAAAGAAAATTGGATAAAGACTAAAGGGAAAAAAAGGGAAAGAATTGATTGTATCTGGGGCATGTGCAATGTGTGTGCGCTAGGATTTCTCTTCAAAAACACTACTGCAAACTTACTGGACTGAAAGACCTCGTGTCATGCTGCACTTGATGGAAGTTATTGAATGTTGAAATGTCAAGGAGGGATAAATGTGGTGGGAAAACAAGGGATCTGGAAATAGGAAAAGTGGCAAGACCCATGATTTCCCTCTTTGGCCTTGTACTTGAGAAACTTCCCTCCCCGTCAGGAAGTTGTTCTATTCCAAGGATTGCACACGAACCGTCCATACTGAGGAACACTTACAATACCAAATCAACGTACTTTCTGATTCTTGTAAAGAATCTGGTTTGACCATCAGCATTAGGAAGGCATGTCCATGATCTAGGATGTTGCTATACCGCCATCGATCAGCAATGTGACAAAGTGACGTTTAGAGGATAGTGATAGCTTCATATATCAAGGCACCACAATCACCAGAAATCTATCACTTGATGCTGAAGAAACACATACATTGCAAAGCTCCAGCTGTTGATCCCAAGCTGAACAACAGCATGTAGAATTAGAACAAGCTGACATAATAGCAAATTGAGAGCCTTGTGAACCTGTATCAGTGCACTTCTCCATAGTGGTGAGAACCGGACACCCTGTGCTAGGCAAGAGAAAAGGCTGAGCAATTTTCACCTTTGTTGTCTCAGATGTATGCTTGGCATCTCATGACAGTACAAGGTCAGCAACTCAGAGGTTCTGATGTGTGGTGTTGCCATCCAGTCATTACTAAATCAACGCACCTGCACTAGCAGCTCAATTACATGTATCAGATGGTTGACGATTGTACAGAAGGAGTTTGGGTATACAATGAACTGGCCACTGGGTCATGACCTTCAAGGTATCCATTCCATTGCCACAAGGACACTGATAGTGACAACTAGCAGACATTCAGCGATGCTATGACCATTGCAAGCCATATGTCTGGGAGGGCACAGGAGGATACAAACAGGAATGGAAAGCTCAGCTGGCTGAGAAAAGAGCCCAGAGAAAAATCATAGGCCAGCAAATTGAGCACCCTTGCAGTTTTCCTCTGTAACAAATGCAGTACAACTGCCATGTGGAAAGGGCACCTGATGTGGTTACCAACCCAGAGCTGACCACTACAGTGCAAACCATCTTTCTGGAAGGAAGGCTGCCACACAAGAGAAAATACATTCCAATACATTACTGCTAAGAAATGAACTCCTCCAAGCAGTCCACTGCTCAGTATCGGATGGAATTTTATGAAATATTAATATCCAATTTTTAAATCAACAGCACTGTCATTCTCAATTGCTATCAGCCTCTAGCTGAGGTTTTTGTCCACTTAACTCTATTTGTAAACTGGAAATAAGACTAAATATTTGTTAAGTCACTGTATTTGCAAGGCAATAAGAACAACCTTTATGCAGAAAATAAACTGAAAGTTATGTATTGCAAGTTATAAATCACAGTTAATTAAGCTTCAATTCAGGGTGCCTGGTCACATAAGAATCTACATTCAAATCACAATTGCACATTATCCTCTGGGGTCCAGTACAATGTGTGGTTAAAGCAAAGCTGATGTTAACCTACAGATCTATGGCTTTTGGATTCATAATTTATATTGTTAAGAAAAGCATCTAAAATGAATAAAAAAGAATGACACGAGTTAGATTTTTTTGTCTGCTGCAAGTTATCAGAAGGAAAAGTCTGTTTATTCTATACTTAATTATCCTTGATGAACATTCAAAATTTTTTCATATTGTCACTTGCTATAAACACAGCAATAATTGTAACATTTGTATTTCATTCAAATTAAGCTGCAACTAACAATTCCTGGAAGAAAAATCCATAGCCATTTGACAAATCAAATGAGCCAAAATGACAAGAAACAACTTAAACAAGTTATTTTTATTCAACAGATAACAGAACAAGTATCCAGCATGAAAGACTAGCTCTTACCTGATCTGGCTCTAAGTCCATGTCGGATAAAGCTGAAAGGAAAAACATTTTTGCTGGCTTTCCTATCACTTCGGCTTTGATATCACAGGCATACTGGGAGGAGGGAATGAAAATAAAATCAAATTCATGCGTAAAAACTAAAATAAAACTGTGGATACTGTAAATCAGAAACAAAATTTGTTTCAAATGGTTTCAAATTCATATGTAGTTCTTGAGAGAAAAAGGCACCCGAGACTTCAAGGCAGAATATAACTCTATATTAAAGACAACTAAGTATTTGAATTTTTAACAACATAAGAACAGCAATAAAATTCTGGTTAATTTAAACGTTTCTTGTCAAATGTGCAGCAGGCTGTAAGTAGCATCTTTGATGGCTAAATCTACAAATATGCATGCTGAAAGCTATTTTGATTCTAGTTTTTGAAACAAAGGGATTTTATTTCTTTGGGGAAGCAGTAACATTCCAATACCAATTGGGTCACTCTGCATTTTAGTTCAGAAACTTGATCAAAAAATGTCAGGCCCAAAGAATCATTTTATCCAAGTGATGATGCACCTAATTACAGATATCATGTACCGCTAAGGTAGGTACAGTAATGTTATGTTTCATGTATCACAGGGGCGACAGAAATGAGAAAACTGGGCATTCCAGTTTTTATCCTTTTTAGCCTGACATTCAATCCATTTGCAGGACTGCCTTTCCTTTTAATTTTCTCAGGTTATGAATAATTAAATAACACAAATATAAATTAAAATAAAGGGGTATCAAATGTTTTTCTGGCATGACAATTCATGAAAATGTGATGCTTGTGGCTCATTGTACAATTCTATATCCATCAGCAGAGGGAGCATAGCTCTGGGGTTGATGTTATTACTGACTAAGCTGAGATGATTTGGAGCAGTAAATTTGACAGCGTGCTACTTCTTCTCCAAGTAGTATCCTCGATCGTTTTTTAACTATGTTTGTATCATGCTTTTAATATGGGACAGAGCAAAAAGTCCACTTCAGCTGGAACATGAATCAAACTCTGTACTTTTCTGTATTCTGAAACACAATAATCATCTAAGCTAAATGACCCTCAGGTAATGTATTGGAGTAGGGAAAAAATATATGTTGATCTTGCTGAGATTGATTCTTCATGTTTATTAAATCTTAGCTGTGTATTTATAATATGTTGTATATCACACACACATACAACGTCATGTTATTGAATGTATTAGATAATTGAAATTAAAACAAAACAAGGCCATTCAGCTCATCATACAAGATGGTTCTTTAAAAGTGCAGTCCTGTTTGATCGTAGATTCTGATTTAGTCCATGATCCTATAGGTTCCTCATCCTCAAGTACCTTTTAAAACTATTGATGGTGGTGTGGGTCTTGTGGTTAGTCAGGTCTTCACAATACACAAAGAAATACCATCCAAGGGATGATGAGTAACTGTAGAGCACAACTATTTATAGTAACTTAACAAAATACACCATCTTCTGCTGTGAAAAAGAAGGCATTATTGACTTCCCCATCTTTCCTGCAGTATGAGGATCCATTTTGATTTCAGATAGCCCTACATTTCTGAATTTGGAAGTGCTGGTGAGAAATGTGGACTTAGGTCCCAATGTGCACCATAAGGAGCAGAATAACAATAGAACAGTGATCACCACTCCTTAGAAGGTTTCAACCATCATGTCTATACTGCTTTCAGTAATGACAGTCCAGAGGGATTGTTTGTTTTAGGGTTTAAACAGCAATAGTTAAAAGTATTGTGTGAACTCAAAGACAGTAAAACTCATTTACTTCTTCAGATCAAGGAAATATTGCACATGAGGGATATTTAACTCAAAAAGGTCAGGCTAAGGATAGCTCAGATCAAGCTCAGCTTTATGGAATAAAAAACGAAAGAACTGCAGATGCTGTAAATCAGGAAACAAAACGGAAACTGTTGGAAAAGCTCAGTAGGTCTGGCAGCATCTGTGAAGGAAAAAACTGAGGTAACGTTTTGGATCCGGTGTTCTGAGGCAGGGTCACTGGACCCAAAACATTAACTGTTTTCTCCTTCACAGATGCTGCCAGACCTGCTGAGCTTTTCCAGCAATTTCTGCTTTGTTTCCTGAGCTTTATGGAGATGGGTATAGCTTAAGAAGGTTCTCCGGTTTCAATTTACCTGTCCAATTGCAGGAAGACGTTAGTTGCAGTTTGGAGTGAAGGGAATACTCATACGAAAGAAGTGAATTCATACAGTTAAGGCTCTAGAAAGGTCCAAGGGAGTAGGTGCAGAATAGTTCAATGCAGCTGAAGTGGTGAAGGAAGCCCACAAGCAGTATTTGCTTGATGTCGCCGAGCAAGATTTTAGCTTGGAGAAATTCAGTGACAGCTCAATGAAGCCAGCTGTTTGATAAAAGATGAAATCGTGTCAGTGATTAGATGCTTGGGAATGGTCTCAAGAATCCTGAAGAATCCTCCAGGAGATTGGGAGAAGCGACTGAATTACAAAGATGAGAGCAACTGTTGGGGCGGTCTGAGTCAGAGAGTCTGTGAGGGAGTTTCCAAAGCTGGATCTTCAAAATGAAAATTCGAAATTGAGATCCATTGCAAAAGAGGAAGAATTTTAATTAGACGTCCAGACCCACAATGTCATAAATAGGTGGGTAGGATCAGTCTTAGCTTTGTGGAGTTAATCTCAACAGCAGCATCCATTTAAAATGCAGTCCGCCATGCTCAACCATAAATTACCTGTTAACTCAGATTTACTTCATGTTCGTCTTAAATGTGTAAGTTGTAAATATCTTGCAGATTGTTTTACTTTCCAACTTGCATTATAAAGTTTAGTTTCCTTGTTCTAAACCACGGAATCCTGTGGTTTTATACTTTTAATAAGTATCTGAGATCTTCAACTTTGTCTATTTGTAGCTATAGTCTAATTACTTACAATAAATAATAACTTTTGTTTAATACAGATACCTGGTCCATGATTTTTAAATCAACTTTGGTCTGAAAGTCAGGAAAAATGGGGTACTGTGCATATTAAAAAAGAAACTTTAACATTCGGTATGACTTTGACAATAGCAGGGCTAAATTTATGGTGGGATACTGCAGTGGGTCATAGCACCTCAATTTAAATTTGTCTGTTCTGATAACCTTCTTTGTTAATCACGAATCTAATTTACCCATAAAAAATATTTAATGACTCTACCTCCATTGATTTCAAAGGTAGATAAATCCACAGATTAACAATGCTCCGACAGATTAAAAAATATTCTCCAAATCTCTGATTGAAAAGGGAGGCACCTTATTTTTAATTTGCGTCTCCTGGTTTTATAAGGGAAAGTATCTTCTCAGATCCTATCAAGTCTCTTCAGGATTTTATATGAGGTTATCATTCATTCTTCTGAACTCCGTTGGTACAAGCCCTGGGTGTCCAACCTTTCCTCAAAATAATACCTTAACCCAAGGAATCAGTCTAAACTGCTTCTAATGTAATTATACTCTTTAAGCAAGACCAAAACTGTACACAGTACTCTTAATATGGTTTCATCAGTGTCCTGTGTACTGTATCAAACTTTCCTGCCTTCATATTCCATTCCCCTTGCAATAGATGACTATGTTTCATTTGCCTTCCAAATCACTTACGGTGCCATATACTAACTTTCTGTGATTCATATACAAGCACATTCAGATGTCTCAGTACCATAGAGATTTAAGGAATGCATTTCTTTTCTATTTTTCCTGTCAAATTGGACAAGTTTGCATTATTCTCCACCTGCCAAATTTTTGCCCAGTCTTTTAATCCATCCTTGGCTTTGCAGGTTTTTTATGTGCTCTTCACAACTTACTTCCCTACCTAACTTAGTGACATCAGCAAAACTTAGCAATTATACACTTGGCCCCTTCATCCAATTTGTTCACATACATTGTGAAAAGTCGAAGCCCCTTCTGATACTCCACAAGTTGCAGTTTACCAAACAGAAAATTAAAAATTGATCACTGCCTTCGGCTTCCGTTGGCTAACTGAACCTCTATCTGATGCTCTTATTTTGTGTAGTAGCCTTTAATGTGGGGTCTCAAATATATTTTGGAAATCCAAATACACTACATCTACTCATTTACCTTTATCCACAGTAGTTCTTAATTCCTCAAAGCATTCAAATATATTAGTCAAACACAATTTTCCTTTCACAAAATTATGTTGACTCTGGTTGACTGCATCAGCATTTTGTGACTGTTTGCTATAAATTCATCAATAACAGATTTTAGCATTTTCCCTATAACATATTAGTTTGGCTGGCATGAGGCTCCAAAGAACTTATTTTGGACTCAAAACATTGGGCTGAATCTTACATTTGTTGGGCTAAATAAAAGTTGCATGAGGTTTTTTGAAGGGATTCTCAACCTCAGGCCAAGCAAGATTTCTCATTGTACCTGACTAAACACACCAAATTAACTTCATATCCTGCCCCAATGGCTTTCTTCAAGTCATCCTGGGTCTAGCCACATCTTACTACATGCTGTTTCCAGAAACTGGTCAAGCATTGTTAGTCTGGAGCTGCCCTACATGGTTCCTGACATTGCCCTGGACTTGGCAAACAGGGGATATTGGTGCCCAAGTTTAGAGGCAGGGACCTGGAAGCCCTGCTTTACAATGTGGAACAAACAAGAGATTCCCCTTTCCCCAGGACTGGCAGTGGAGGCCATGACACTGGAACATGTCAGCCTGATCTGAGGTTACCATCCAGATTAAAGTGGTCTCAGCTTTCAGGAGGAATAGCCAGCACCATCAATGTCCTTCTCTGTTTGCCCAGCATAACAGGCATCATCTTCTCTTTGATACCTCACACTCACTCTATCTTTGCTCCTGTACCCACCTCCCACTAAGGCTTATGCTCTACCACTCTCACCATTGTCTGCAACATCTTTCCTCACTCCCCTGCCTGTCCTGAGCGCTACCTACTTACTTGCTTGGGACACCTCCTCACTTGCATCAAGAGAAACAGCTGCGCCACCCACATTCATCTCCCATCATACTTGCCTTTCTCTCATTCCAGGAGACAAACAGCCAACATGAGGGCAAAAAGAGTCAAGATGGGTGGAGGGCTGCCTGACATTCGGCTCCTTACCCCTTGAATGGGTAGCATCCTGATTCTGACTACCCTGAGCGGCTGATAAATCATGTCCAAGGCCCTGGACTGGTATCAGAGACTGCCCTCAACTTACTGTGCCAAGACCCCGAGTGAAGGCAATCCCTCTTTATTTGACGGAGGCCTGCCTACAACAATAACAAGCTTCCTGCCTGTTTGTCAGCTCGAAACAGCAAAACAAGGCAGGAATAATATGAGCCTGGTATTTCTGGTTGAGGGTACAAAGCATTCAAAGACAAGGCAAGGGAGGAATGCTGTGTATAAATAGTTGAATGTGTTGGCTATGCTGGGAGAAACCAGTGCAGAACAGGAACAAGGGGTGTGGGGGAAAGGGTAATGAAGGAGGAGGGTGTTCACCTTCTGAAATTGTCAATGTTGAGTTCTGATGGTTATAAAAGGTACTTAGGTGGAATATATGAGGTGTTGTACCTCCATTAAGCCTTGCTGGAGCACTGTAGATCTGAGACAAAAGGGCTGGCCAGGGATCATGATGGTAGACAAAGTGTAGGTGTTCAGCAAAGTAGTCACCCAGTCCATGCGTTGTCTCCCCCATGTACAGAAGATCGCACTGTGAGCAGTGAATACAGTGGACTAAATCGAATGGCATGCAGGTAACTTGCTGCCTCATGTGGAAGGAGTGTCTGGGACCTTGAATAGTGAGAAGGTCATTGGGTAGTATTGCACCTTCTGCAATTGGATGGGACGGATCTATGGGGATATGGAGACATGTTGGGAATACGGAGACATGTTGGGAATACAGGAGGAGGGAAACAGGGTGTCATAGAGGGAACGGTTCTTGCAGTAGGCCGACAAGGGAAGGGAGGGGATTATGTGTCTGGCGGTGACATCCTGCTGGTGCTGACAGAAATGGCAGCTTATGATTCTTTAGGCGTGGATGCTAGTGGGATGGAAAGTGAAAACCAGGGGGACCCTGTCGTTGTTGTGGGAAGGGAGGGATTGGGTGACAGCACAAGTGGCAGAGGTAGTCAGACATGGTAAAGGGCCCCAACAACACAAGTGGCAAGGAATGTTTGGTTGAGGAAAAGGGTGGCAATTTCTGAGGCCTCCTGCTGAGGTGGTATCAAGAAAATAGATGTGGAGACGGAGGAACCCAGAGAATAGGATAAAGTCGTTATGGAAGCAGGGTGTGAGGATGTATAGTCAAGGTAAACATGGAAGTCTGTGGGTTTATAATGGATATTGGTGGCCAGCCTATCCCCAGAAATGGAAACAGAGATGTTGAGGAAGGGAAGGGAGGAGTCAGATGGATCAGGTGACAGAAAGACAGAAATTGGAAGTAAAATAGATAAACTTTTCCAATTCCAGACGGGACAGAAGCAGCACAGATGATATCATCAATGCACCAGAGAAAGAACTATTGGGAGGGATCTGAATAGGAATGGTTCAAGCAATGTTCTGCATAGTCCACAAAGAAACAGGCAAAGCTAGGGCCCATGCGGGTTCCCATGGCCACACTTTCAATCTGAAGAAAGTGAGAGGAGTTAAAGGAGAAATTGTTCAGAATGAGGATGAGCATAGCCAGGTAGAGGAGGGTGTAGGTGGATGGGAATGGTTCAGGTCATTTTTCCAGGAAGAGGTGCAGAGCCAAGATCATCCTGATGGGCAATGGACATTTGGATGGATTGTAAGTTGACTTTTTAAGAAGATGGATCGCATTTTGTGCTCCTTTATCTTTGCCAAAGTCACACTGAAAAGTCTGAAAGCTCCGATTTAATTTTCCATCATTCTGGGCATTAGGATTTCGAGAACAATCTTTATGACTTGAATTGTTCAGCTGTTTTTCCATGCTATCTTGTATCCTACTGAGCCAGGTTTCTTTGACAGATAAAAGGAGATTTGGGGAGATCTTCAGGGATGATGCTAAATGCTGTAGGTCGTGTAGGCAACAATATTTTTTCAATTCCAAGCTACTCCGACGCTTCAATAACCTCTACTACTAATTCATCTTGCCATGGTGCCTTCCCATTTCTTATCACCTTGTTCTTGCAAAATTTCCTGGCCTATGTCTTTGTTTTTGATTGCTGGTCGAGGTCCTCTGTCATCAATATGCAATTCTTCTAGGTATCAACTCTGGGTCCTCAATGTGCTCAACACTTTCCCAAGTAAATCGTTCATATTTTATGGCAGAGATTTTCCATTTTGGAATCTAAGTGTGAGAGCAGGCATGTTCAGTGGTGCCTGATTCACACTCCCAGCAAGAAAGCTCGCTGGATTAGATTGAGCATTAGCTTGTTCAGAACTGACCAGTCTCCGGTTGAATCACAGGCCCCAACGTTGAAGTCCCACCTCACCAGAAACTGCCTGCCGATCACAGGACAAGACCTTCTGAATCCTAAAGATTATTGACAAAGGTCTGTTCTTCAAGGGATACAACAGCAAGAAGGTCAGAGGAAAAGGAAAAGGGTGGCTTTCAGCATCTGTTAATTGCCCACTTAAGGGCCTGAATTGCTGGAAAGTCCCAAATGATACCCAGAAGGGATGAGTATCTCTCCTGGAACAATTTGCCCAATTGTCTGTCCTTCTCACCATGTCCAGAGAGGGGAAAATTGTGCCCTATGTGTTTATAATATGTTTTAAGAGTTTGTTTTAATGGCCTGCTTTTCTCACAGTCTCTTTGTCACGTATTAACAGCTTCAATTCTCTTGTACTTTCCTTAATTTCCTGATAATTAATTGAATTTTGCTGTTGGAATTGTCATAGATCATCCGGGTTCCATTTGTCATCTGGGTTCCATTTTAAAATGGTACCATGCAGTGTTTCCCCCTCTATGCTTCAGAGTTCCTTTTAAGAAAGGTGGCCTAGCAAAAACAGAACTGCTATCTGATGAGAAGTGAAAATTATTTTCTGGGTGTGACTGCTTCTATAATAAGAGCATAAAACGCAGGTGCAATGTAGGCCATTCAGCCCATTGAGTCTGCTCCACCATTCAGTCAGATCTGCTAATCCTCAACTCCACTTTGCTGTCTTTTCCCCATGACACTTGATTCCCTTACTGATAAAAAAAATCTGCATATCTCAACCTTGAATATTATAATGACGAAGCCTCAAAAGTCCTCTGTGGTAAAGAAATCCTTGGATCGATACCCTTCCAGCCTCAAGTTCTGCCCAATTAACTTTGACAGCTTTATTATTAGATTTCACCTGCAATTCCTGGTAGAGTTATCCAAGGAACAGTACACCATTTCTGCTTCCGACAGTGGAACAACAATTTTAAAAATAGTACCCGTGGCTTTCATATCTCGAATAACATAATCCCTGCCATGAACTAGTACCATCCCTTATACCCTTGTCTTCCCAAAACACGCTTTTTTCTACCTTGAATAGATTTTGAGTTATTATCAAGATATCTGCACACATATAGAAACATACTGTCCTAACACACAATGCCCGCTTTTGAATAGTCAATGGTGTTCCATTGAAGACTATCATATTAGGACTTTATCTGGAAGTAGCAGAGCTGCACTGGTAAGGAAAGTGTTGAATTCATTCTATTCTCAGTTTTCACTGAATGAGCTGACCTCGATCAGGATGGTGATAGGGGTATTGGAGTAGTGTGTGGGAGTGGGGAAGAGAAAAAAAAGAGGAAAGCCTAGGGGTGCCTATTTCTAGTTGGTATGCACATATCTGAATTTGAGCCCAGGTACAGATGAGTTAATCTGTAATGTGCCCTAAAGTTGAGGGCCTTGGCAGAAGTATTTAACGGCATCTTTGAAACCATACCTCAATATTGTTTCAAAATGGGGTGGGAATAGACAACTTGGAAGCAGCATAACAAGCAAAGAAAAAAACTCATTTCACAAAAGATAGTAACTAATTAAACATAATCAAGGAGTCCATTAAGAACAGTTTTGATTTTATCGTTTTTGGTAATTTACAGGGCATTTACCAATTCTTCATATTCTGCATCGCATATCTTCCAATTTTGGAGTCATAGAACTTTTAAATATGACATATTTCTGCTTCTAATTGGTGATCTGGTTACATTTTTAATTTAACACCAGCATTTATTGCCCACCTCTTTTCAAGGGAGTTGGGATGGGCAATGAAACCCACGTCACATGAATAAAAAGAACACTAAACGAATTGAATACTTTGAGGCATAATATTACATTAGCCAATACCATTGTACTTGGAGAACAGAAAAGGAAGCATAAACATTAGAATACCTCCAATGCCTTCATGTAAGCTCCAACATCGAGTTTCATTCCATCGGTTTCCTTATAATATCGCCTAAAGTACGGAAATATCAAGAGGTCAATACAATCAAAAATATATAATATAGAAGGCCCCTTTGCAAAGCAATCTTTGGAGGACATATAGAAAGCTTGGATGTAGTGTCCAACATGTTAGAGAAGCTCATCTTGTGTCATTTCTTCATTATACCACAATGAATATAATTAGGTCGTAAGCATGAATAGTGAGGGCTAACACACTTTAATTTTGCAAATATCACTGAAGAATAGATTTCTGACAGAAAATAAATCCTTCCAATGCAGAAAAGTGAAAAAAGTGAGACAACTTGATAGGAAGAATGAGGGGAGCAATACAAAATAAAGGGTACAATTCCAAATAGGATGCAGCAACAGAGGACCTGGGATACAGGTTCACTTAGCGATGAAGGTGGCAGGGCAGGTTGAAAGTGTTAAAGATGCATACAAGGCTGTGGGCTTTTAAAACGGAAGCCCAGAGTACATAAGCAAGGAAACTATACTAAACCTTTACTGAACGCTGTTTGGCCTCAACAGGAGTTTTATGTCCAATTCTGGACACTGCAATTTGGCAAGGAAGTGCAAATTTTAGATAGGATGCAGAAAAGAGTCATGAAAATGATTCCATGGAGATTCAGTTATGTGGAGACATTGGAGAAGGTGGAGTTGTTCTCCTTAGAGAACAGAAGACTGTGAGGGGATTTGACAAAGGTGTTCAAAACTTTGAGAGATTTAGATAGAGAATATTTGGAGAAATGGTTCCCTTGGTGAAACAGAGAACACAAATTAAGATGAATGGCAAAACAAGCATCAGTGACATGAGGAAAAACATTTTTGTACAGCCGGGAGTTAGGAACTGGAATGCAACTTTCTCAAACGCAGTGGAGACAGATTCAACCAAAAGGAATTTGGAAAATATTTTAAAAGGCTATGGGGAAAGGGCGGTGAAATTGGACTAGCTGAGATTGTCTTACTGACAGCCACACAGACTTGGTGGGCCAAATGGCCTCCTTCTGTACTGTACTCATTCTTCTGTTCTATTTTTTAAAACTTCAGTATGAAACCATCCCCAGCTGAGACACAATGGGTTAAATAGCTTCTTCCTGTATGTCAATACATGCATGTTAAGAGAAACAAAGTGATCGAATACTTCATTTTCAATATGAGGAGCAGAGTGTTGTGCGAAGTTTTTCACAGTAACCCTGCAGTAGAGAAAAAACATGAGGAAAATCTGTAGGCTAATGGAGAATGATGAAATATTAAATGACTTTCAATCTATTGCCAGCTAAATAAACTTCGAAAAAATAATTCATATTGTTCTCTCACTTAAATGTAATTCACCTTCACTCAAGCAGATAATGTCAGCTGAGTGACAGAGTTATTGAGCAAATCATTTTTTCAGAACCATTTCTGCTCCATGCCAGATGGACTGTATTAAGGTCTCAGACAGCAGATGAGAAATGTGCAACATGGTTGGACATGGTTTTTATGGTTTATCTTTCTGCCATTTTCAATTATACATCAAAGCCTCCCTCTCAAATGACCACTTGACCTCTGCTTGAGCAACCATTAACCTTCCATAGGCTAGCGTAAGCAGCTTAATTTTCTGACACTGGCATGACCAGAGAAATTACACTGCCAATTCCATATCCCATCTAAAATAGATGCTGAATGTAAATCAATATATTTAGAGGAGACTCCTCGAGTAATTCTGTCATGCTGGCATAACTTCTAACTTCTCATTTACTGACTTACGTATAGATCAGTCTTGCCAATTTGGACTTCATTCTGGAGTCACATTGTACTTTTATCAATCTAGATGCATACAATATCCATCTGTGTGCAAATATTCCTTCCTTACTGACCAATTTTTAATGTGAATGTTTATGCTTTTGTGCCCAGCATAATGGAATTTCTAATTAGGGATTTTTATTGACAAATGTCCATTTTTTTTTGCTTGTAACTACCCACCCCTTCTCATTGTTCTCCCTTTTTATTCCTTGATGAGCTTGACAATTTGCAGTTGTTCTTTCCATCCTTCCTTTCTTTTTATTAGCTTCTTTGACACTGCCTTCCCGTTCGGAGGAGAAATGTTGGAACAATGGTAATGCGACCTCTCATCAAAACTAACGCTTTCTTCCAAGTTTTAAGTGTTCACGCAGTTTCATCCCCAGCTTTCATGATCAGAAATTTGCCTCCACTGACAGCATGTTCAAATATTTAATGAATCACAACATTAACAATTAGCTCATGACAGAGTTATTTTGCAACAGAGATTGCACAGCATAAACTTCAGTCCATCCAAAAAGGTGGGGAGCCAAATAATTCAGACTAAAACAAGTGAGTGGGCTGAACCAATTTGCTTTTGTGTTTTCAACCAGGGTTACAAAGTAAGGACTAGTCTCTTGTCACCACAAAGTTATAATAAGAAACATACCAGGTTTTAAAAGTGTTAAATTATGAAGACAGGTTGCATATGTTTGGATCACATTCCCTTGTGTTTTAGGTTTGAAAGGTGATCTTATCACCTTATTCCTTCAGGGCGGCAGAGTGGCTCAATGATCAGCACTGCTGCCTCACAGCACCAGGGACCCAGGTTCGATTCCACCTTCAGCTGGCTCTCTGTCCGGACTCTCCCTGTGTCTGTGTGGGTTTCCTCTGGGTGCTCCGGTTTCCTCCCACAGTCTGAAGACGTGCAGGCTAGGTGGATTAGTCATGGGAAATGCAGGGTTATAGGGTAAAGTGTGGGGGATGGGTCTGGATGGGATACGCTTCGGAGGGTCAGTGTGAACTCCTTGGGCCGAATGGCCTGCTTTTACACTGTAGGGATTCAATGATTATCAAGGTTTTAAAAGATTAACAGATTCAGTAAAATAGCTGTGGGGAAGTCTCTCGTGGCAGAATCAAGAACGAGGAAGCATAAACATAACCTTAAGAATTAAGTCATTTAAGATAGAAATCAGGTAATATTGTACATCCAAAGGTCAGTGGAAATCTGGAATTTACGCCACAAAAGCCTGGGTCCATTGCAATTTTCAAGACTGAAAAAATACACTTTTGTCAGGGAACAGTTTGACCAAATGATTTGAAGCACAAGTGGGGGTAAGCTCTTGCTCCTCTGTTTCAAAGTCCAGAAACACAGCAAGTGGTAACTATAAACTTCGTCCCAAACAGCCCAGCAATAGTGATGCATGTGCACAGTTTCCATCTGCTCAGTTATATTTCTGTTGGCATCATGGCCCTATAGCCAGTCACAGAAATGGCGTGCAATCAATTTGTGACAGGAGTCATGGGCTAGATCTGGAGGAAATATCTTTTGTCACACAGAGTCAAAAGCTGACTTCGTCTCCTTACTGAAGCAAAGGTAAAACAAAGCTTTGGCAGAGAATGAATGTGGAGTGGTGACTGCTGCCAGAAATCCAAGTACAGATCATCAATAAGGCCTATTAGTCTCACATGGATTGGATCATTAACTAATTTTCTGTTAACAAAGATGCCTCAATCATGCTGTTAAGCATGCAAGGCACTGAAGGTTCAGTCTCTGGCCCTTTTTTCCTCTGGGGTCATCTGCAATTTGGGAAAAGTCCAATCCTGTCATCCTGCTTCACTCTGTCCATTAGCATCAGTGATATGAATCCGTAAGGATAATTAGACTTGATGATTTTTAAAATATACTTCTGAACAGCAAAGGGGGAGATATCAACCTGAGAGGAGGTCCTATCAGACCACTGCATACAAGTCAAGGACCACAATGACCTTGTCAGCCACAGACCACGCTTTTGCTTTACAGTCTAACTTACTTAGCTCAGTGCAGCTTTTCTTTTAATCATTCACACGATGTGGGTGTCACTGGCTAGGCCATATTTATTGCTCAGAGAGCACTGCTGTGGGTCTGGAGTCATGTATAGGCCAGATCAGGTAGGGTTGGCAGTTTCCTTCTCTAAAGGACATTAGTGAACCAGGTAGGCTTTTCCACACGGATTTCATGGTCATCATTAGACTCTTAGCTCCAGATTTTTAATTGAATCCAAATTCCTCCATCTGCCATGGCAGAATTTGAACCCTGGTCCCAGCTCATTACTAGAGTCCCTGGATTATTAGTCTTGTGATAATACTACCAGGCCATTCCCTCCCCTACGCAGCAAAGTTAAGCAGCTTGATACATCATGCCAGAATGAAGGTCAGTTAGAAAAAGGAGCTCCTGTAGATTTCCTGTATGCACAACATCCTCCATGGTCCCCTCTTCATCTATCAGAGGAGAGAGCATGAGAGAAAATTGGATGAGAAAAGATATACCCAGAATGTTGTTGCGTTCGAATTGATGTCAGGAAATGGAAATGATAATAAAAGAAAAGAAAAGAAAAAGAAGTCCAGGAATAGGAGGGTCTGTGACAATCCATGTAATTAACAGGAATGGAGGGGATCAGAAGTTTTGAAGGAACATTTCCAGACTATAAAACTTGGTTTGAGCCCCCTCTGCAATTCCCTGTTCTGGCCACTGGGTGACTCTGCACTAACTTGAGTTATGTTAAACATGACAGAAGTGAGATTTTGGTTTTTTCAAATGTTAATGAATTGCAAGCACCTTAAACCGATTCATTTTTGTTTGATTTCTCCCCAACTAAAAACCACTGACCGACCAGAAGTTCAATCTGTTCAGTAAGAATTTCAGTCTGTCAGTCATTCCTAATCTTTGCAACAGCAATTCCACACACAGACCCTGAAATAACCCCAGTTCAGCTAATTCCCCAACTAAATCATGCTGATGGGTCTTATTCATTCACTACTTGCCATGACTTGAGACATTGTCAATGCAACCACAATAGCTCAGCCACCTCCAGTAAATTTAACCAAATGCATTTCACTGCATCAAGTTCTGAATTAATAACTTCACCTTGCACTATAGAGCTCACAATCACCAAATACTAGGGCCAAGTGGAGTTCTGCATATCTGCAGGCCTACAATTCTCACCAAATTGGTCTTCAATCCTCCTCCCTTAAATTAGCCACTTTCTTTGCTGCCGTCAGCTCGCCCTTTCCCACTCATTTGCACCCCTACCACACTTTTGCATTCCCACCCCATGGCTGAAATGTCCTCCTTGGTCTTGCTTCCATGTATGAGTATTATTGGAGATCGATTAGAAAGATACAAAACCCTGTTTACAAAAGCCTTGAGAGGAGACATTCTAGAGGACTAATTGTATCAGCAGTCCTAGAGGCACCCTAGTGGGTCACGGGAAGTTTGTGTTTGCATCAAAAAGGAGAAACAAACAAAATATTTGAATTGAAATGTACAATGTAACTACTGAAGTCTTGTTATGGGGCATTCCACTTCACAGTCCTGTTCTGAGCACATTGACAGAGCCAAAGCCAAACTTCAGATCTTTGTCAAAATAACATCTGGTAATCACAGCATTGATCTCATGAGGGGAGACCCATCGATTTTTCCTCTATTTACACAGCCTAAAACAGAATTATTCATATGGCAGCAATGTATGTGGTCTTTAAGGCCTTTATATCCAACAGGAAAAAGCTTCTTACCCTCTGCCAAGAGATAGCAGCACAGGTTTTTCCAGTCCTATCAGAACTTGAAAAGCCTCATTCAGGTTCTTGTAAGAAAAATTATCTGCAGCATCTCCAATCACAACACAGTTGGGATTTGATTGGTCAATCTGGTTAAACTCTGGTAGAAGACCTGGAATTGAATTCAAGAATAAAATCATATTCAAAATTTTACTATTTAGCTTTGTTAGATCGAGTATTAAGAGTTAATGATTATAATGGGAATTCTACTAGAGAAGACTTAAGAAACGCATCAGTATAACAATTTTTATCACTTTTAAGATCCTTACAAATACCTTTTTAGTCATATACAAAACTCATATCTCTATGGGTGATAAAGAAATACCTTTGACTGCAAATGATCTGAAAAAGGCTGACACACATCTACATACAATCACTCAGTTCTTGAAAATAAAAGTGCAAAATCTCATGGCACATTTATTTTCAAAACAGGACCTGAACTATTTGAAAATAAAGGAATGTTGCAGCCTACATGGAGAGCTGCACAAGGTGCAGGGTTCAGCTGAGTCCAGCATAAGCAATTATCAACTGTAACAACAAAAAGTCCAACTTTTAACTATCATAGGATGTCACTGCTCAGTTCCTGACCAACAATGATGTGGAGATGTCAACTGTACAAACCAGATCAATTAACTGGCTACAAAGATGGAGATGATAAATGACTCCTTTTTTGAACCTCCAAGCCTGTGAGATACAAAAGCTCAAATCAGCAATATGGTGGAACACTCACACGGGTTAAGCTATAACTTTTGAGAAATCCGAGACCATCCAGAACCGTGCATTTCAATGAAATCTTTGCTGTTATACTCAATATGCAGAACCAATAACCACCAGGCTTATTTAAACAGCACCTTCCAGTGAAATGAACTAAAAAGGCCAAGAACAATAACATTCCACTACAAATGACGAGTTCCTTTTCAAGCACACACCATTCTGAATCCAATATATCAGGCCTAGTTGTGAAATATTGAAATTTATTTTGTTCTGCTGGTAAACAATTTCCTCTGCTGCTCACAGTGGGGTCTCCTCTTCAATGGGGAGATGAAATGCAGTGACAGCTTTCCAGAACGTTCTGTCTGTGAAAATGATCCTGAGCTTCCAGTTGCCCGCCACTTCAACACATCGCCGTGCTCCCTGGCCAACATTTCTGTCTCAGGCTTATTGGCTTATTGCAGCATTCCAGTAAGCCTCAGCACAAGCTCAAAGAACAACATCTCATTATACCGTTGGGGTCCCTGCAGTCTCTAGGAGGCAACGTCGAGTTCAATAACTTTACAGCCTGAACAATTCCTTCCACATTTTTAACTAACCCCACACCCTGGTCCAATCATGACAGTGGTTGCTTTTAACACAGCCTACTCATTCTCACCCACTCTTAGTCTTGATCATCACATTACACTGACTGCTTTCAGCAGTTGATCCTTACATTGCTCAATTGTCAACTTACATTGCAATGAGTTTCCAATTTTTAAGCACATCATAATGCATTAAAAATGTAAAGTAAAATTGAGTCAGTCAGTCAGTCTTTGTCGTCATGTTTCATTTTATGCTTTAAATTGATTGATATTGCGAACTGTTAAAGAAATGTTGCTTTTCAAAGTTAAAAATAAAACCTCTGCATCTGTTTCCCACCATTGATTGACAGGCATTTTGTTCTGAAATGGAAATGGGACACCTTTAAACATTTCTGATGAAGTGTCTAGGCCTGAAACGTCAGCCTTTCTGCTCCTATGATGCTTATGATGCTGCTTGGCCTGCTGTGTTCATCCAGCTCTGTACCTTGTTGTCTCACCTTTAAACAAAGTTGGGAGCTGAGCTGCTTTTTTGGAGAACCGAAGTGGGCATTCTAAATGGCTTGCCTCCATACCAGACCCCTCACATAGGCCATTGTAGCTCCTGAAGTATACTGCAAGCCTGACCCCTTTGTAAAGGCAAACCCCCTGGTCAAGGGTTGGGTACAAATTTCAGAATGTGCAAATATGCTCACACAAGAGTCTAAGCCATGCTGCCATTTTTTTTTTAAACTACCTGCAGTTTCTGACTCAAACAGCATCGTGTAAGCAACACCAGCACTCAGTGTCACATCTAAAAATTGCAACCCAACACTACCTTTTCAGGGAAACTAGCAAATTGTTAATAAAATGTCACCGATGTCCCCAAACCAATGATAAATGAACAATGTTCCCAACACACTCATTTTAAAATGAGTTACAAACTGTGGGAAACATTTGTTGCAAATGTCAAAAAAAAATTCCAGATTTTATTCAGCATAGCTAACTATAATACTTACTTATGAAAAGTCTAAAACTCCTAATCTGCAAATACTGCACGACTCGGGCATATTTTCCAAGTGTACAATTGAGGCATTCTACTCCAGCTCTATGCAAGCAGTTTGCATTTCAAATACTGCTTTCATTAAACAGTAAAGCCTGCCAACTGAGGCAGAATTGAACTGCATTCAATTTTTGTGCAAATGCTCTCTCATGCTCCTTAATGTTCAAACTACAAAAACACTTCAAGATGTTTTTATACCACAGAATAAAAATGAGTTTGATATGTAGTTGACCCAACAGAATAGATATAACAACTTCAAATTGTGAGCAATAAATGCTTATAAATGGCCTGTTAAGGACGCAACTGAAGCAATAACATAAATTTACATGCACTGGTTACTGGGGCTGGTGGTTGAATGATGGATATTTGGTGGGAAACTCAATCAGATTGTGTAGCCAGTCAACTGTCTTCTCAGTAAATGGACCAAATTGGTCTTTTGCGACCCTGTACAATCCAGTGCTCCTGGATTTTACTTCTCGATGCAAGTAAAAATTAACAATCAGAGCGTGTACATAAATATGCTTTTTGTCATTACATAGTGAGCTGAATGTTTGATAGTAATCTGACTTTCATGCTTTGAACATTTTGATTCATTAGCCAGCTTTCACACAACATTCTTAACTTGCCATTTCCTATTCTCTTCTTCATACAACAGACAATTTGGTCAAAGAGGAAAATGGTCAGAGAAACATTCTGAAAGGATTATTATTTCAACTTTGTATGACATGACTTCTCCCTTTCAATAAAAAAAAGACTCATGAAGGACATCAATCTGTCTCTTCAGAAGTCCCAGAGTTATCAGGTAAGCAGACTTTGGAAAACTGGATACAAGACATTAGAGACAAGCCATTCAGCCCAATGAGTCCATGCCAGTCTCTATGCTCTAATCACAACTTCTTATGCCTTTTTCCTCCTAAATCTACCGTAGGGGCGGCACAGTGGTTAGCACTGCTGCCTCACAGCACCAGGGACCCGGGTTCGATTCCACCCTCAGGCGACTGTCTGCGTGGAGTTTGCACATTCTCCCCGTGTCTGCGTGGGTTTCCTTTGGATGCTCCGGTTTCCTCCCACAGTCCAAAGATGTGCAGGGTAGGTGGATTGGCCATGATAAATTGCCCATAGAGTTCAGGGAGGTGTAGATTAGGTGGGTTATAGGGTAATGGGTCTAGGTGGGATGCTCTGAGGTTCGGTGTGGACTTGTTGGGCCGAAGGTCCTGTTTCCACACTGTAGGGATTCTATTTCTATAACCACCTTCTTCTTCTTTTTCACATCCTTATCCAATTTCTCCTTAAACGCATCAATAATATTTGCTTCTGCCACTCCCTAGAGTCAGGTGTATACAACATGGAAACAGATCTCTCAGTTCATGCCAACCAAGTTACCCAAACTAAATCAACGCCATTTACCTACATTTGCCCCACATCCCTCTAAACCTTTCTTTTTCATATACTTATCCAAACGTCTTTTAAATGTTGTAACTGTATCTGCATCTACCACTTCCTCTGACAGTTCAGTCCACATACAAACCACCTCTATGTGAAAAGGTTACCCTTCAGATCCCTTTCAAATCTTTCTCCTCTCACCTTGGAGTTATGCCCTCCAAGTTTTGAACTACCCCACCCTAGGGAAAAGACCTTTGCTACTCACCTTATCTATGCCCCTCATTTTGTAAACCTTTATAAAGGTTTACCCTTCAACCTCCTACACTCTAATGGAAAAAGTTCCAGCCTATCCAGCCTCTCCTGAAAATTCAAATCCTCCATTCCTGGTAACATCCTGGTAAATCCTTTCTGCATACAGCATTTCTCATTGTCACCACGTTTTGGCTAAAGAAGTTTTTTCAGACTCCTCATTGGATTTTGTAGTGACCATTTTGTACTGACAAACTCAAGTTATGCATTTTTTCCCACCAAAGGAACCAGTGTCTGATCAGACTTCCCAACCTGGCTGCTCCTGATTGCCTCCATGGTAAACTACTGTATAGGGTTTGTCTCAGCACAGTGCAGGTGCCATGACACCAGAGGACCCGAGAACACCCATTAAGGGCAGCACCAAACACTACAGAGGGAGAATAGTCAGGATTTTAGTTGGGTATGGGAATAGGAAGATCGGAGAGTTAAGCTTGTCAGCTATGGGGCTGCCAGGTGTCTGCAGCAGGGATCAGAGTGTCAGGGTGGGGGCTGGGGCTAAACGGTATGCTGGATCCAGGGAGGGGAGTGGTGGAGGGAGGAATCAATGGTGATTCAATTTAATGGGTATTTGAACAGGTTTAAGTTCCTCTAACATTGCCTGGGTACCTACTAAAATAAATATGACAGAACCCTCCATATTGTCCTACTCTAACTCAGATTTGGGGACCTCTTCAAAGGTTTGAGAAGATTTGTAGCTCTGGTTGTGGATGAGGTTGTAGACTTGCTCGCCGAGCCAGTGGGTTTGGTTGCAGACATTTTGTCACCCTGCTAGGTAACATCGTCATTGCACCTCCGGTGAAGCGTTGGTGTTCTGTCCTGCTTGTTATTTATGTGCCTCGGTTTGCTGCGGTGGTTGGCATTACTTCTGGTTCTGTTTCTCAGTGGTTTGTATGTTGGGTCCAGTTCAATGTGTTTGTCGATGGAGTTCCGCTTGGAATACCAGGCCTCCAGGAATTCCCTGAAATGTCTCTGCTCGGCTCGTGTGATTACGGATGTGACATTGAATTAGACCCTGTGTACAAACAGCCAAGAAACAGAACCGGAAGTAATACCAAACAGCCCAGCAAACCGAGGCACATAAATAACAAGTGGGACAGAACACTGACGCTTCACCGGAGGCGCACCGATGATGTTACCTAGCAGGGTGACGAAGCGTTTGCAACCAAACCCACTGGCTCAGTGAGCATGTCTACAACATCACCTCTTCAAAGGGTTCCAAATGCCAAGTGTTATGGACCAAACCAGATTCCCTCAAAATATTTTAAGAAAGTAGCCTAGACCCTAACTTTTTCACACTTTAAAGGCAAATGTGAAACTGCCGTGTTCCAGATGCAATGCGACGGGTCAAACTACTTGACGTTAAGCAAAACACAATTTATTTAAACTCTATAGTTAAAATACAACAAAAGAAAGAAGGAATTGGAATAACTTAACTCTACTGGAAAACTTAACAGAATAATAGATACAGTACCAATTACTAATTAACTGTTCCAACATAGTAACATCCTATAAACACATCCCTTGGCAAAACGGAAAATTCAGACACAGATTCCCACAGGCAGTTCTCCCATCCAGGAGGGCAAAACATCAAGAGAAAATTTAGAGAGAATAGCAGCCAGGAGACATTCATTAAAGCTTCCAACTCTCTTGAGATCCCAACAACTTCTATCGCTACTGAAAAACCAAACCTAGAATTCTGGATCTATGAGAGCTGGACATACCCATTCAGGTTGCATAAAAATAAAATCCCAAGGCCTCCCAAGCTGTTTACAATACACTCAACTGTTCGGCACCTCTACCTTACAACCACTCTTAAAAAGAGCACAAAATAACTTTGAAAGCCACAGCATCATCACACAGGTAACCGTATGTCAGAATCTGAAAAAGTTGAAACTTTGAGGGCAATTTCCATAGAGTCAGCTGATTTGAGACTGAATAGTGCCAACATGTAACTCCTGACTACACTGCTGCAACTATTATCTTTTCATTGGAATGTCTGGCTCATTATTTCTGCATCCATGTTATCAAAAGTGAAAGAAAGTTCACAAATTTTAAACATTTATTAGGTCACTCCTCAATGTTCTAGTTTCAATAGAGGAGACATGTCTGTTAATAATTTCCTGATGTACCCATATAACAGAAGTCGATCAAATGTACCAAATTTTGTCAAGTAAATCAATGACAGCTCCCACACACAACTAGCATTTGCCTATTAAAAGGAAGCGAAACAAAGGAGATCTCAAATAATTTCACAACAATAAAATATGTTATTCAACAAGGACTATGCTTAGCACCTATAAATTTGGTCGTAAGTAAGAAAAAGGAGAATATTTGAACACTAACCATCATGCACAAGGAGGTGTGGTCTAAGTCCACGTTCCTTCAAAATTTGACAAGCAGCAGGGGCAGGAGCAAAGACTTCACCGAAAGTGATATCAAACCCCAGGTTTTGCAACTTCGCCACAAACTTCTCCCGGGTGGCCTGAGTTTCGTTGGTGCAAAAACGCACCTTTAAATCGGCCTCTTTGATTCTGCACCAAAGAAAGTAAACCATTTACATTTAAATCACGTTTTCAATTAATGCTGATGTTTACCAGAGTTAAAACTGAGGTAAAAGAAGTGTAATAAATAACCTGCTCTGCAGCATTATGTAAGATTTCCTCACTGTATCAACACTGTTAACAGGGTCAGCCAGACACCAAGTACATGTCTAATTGAGTCTTGAACTTGTGCCATGCTGGCAGAACTTCAGCAACTAAATGAAATGATTGCAAATAGAAAGATCTGATGCTTCTTAAATTTCTCAGCGCTTTCCACAACCTACTCCAAGGATAGTGGTCTTGCCGAACAGTTGGATTAAGTTTCAATGCAAGCATTAAAATGTAACAAAAGGGCATGATTAATATGACTAATGATAATTCCTATCTTTCATCAATAATTACATAGGAACAGGAGTAGGGCATTCAGCCCTTCGAACCATTCAACACGATTATGGCTGATTGACCGCCTCAATAGTTTGTACCCACACTATCCCCATGACCCCTTACGCCATTGGTAATTATAAATTTATCACACTTCTACCTTAAACATACACAAAGATTGAGCTTTCACAGACCTCTTCGGTAGAGAATTCCAAAGGCTTTCAACCTTCTGGGTAAAAAAAATTCTCCTGATTTCAGAACTAAATGCCATCCCTTTAATTTTTAAAATTGTATCATCTGGTCCTAGACTGCCCAACCAGAGAAACATCTTACCTATAATTATTCTGTCCAACCCTTTAAGTATTTTGTAAGTTTCAATGAGATTATCTCTTGTTCTTCAAACCTCTAGGAGGTCTGAAGAGGATTTTAACAGAGAAATCTCCTTGGCTCACACAGTAGATTCCTGTCCAATTGAAGCAAATGAGTGGGTCTGAGGAACTGGAGAACCCATCAGATGTCAGGCCTTGTAGCCTCAGAGGAGCAGCAGGCTGCAATGGGGGCAAATCATAGACAGGTGTTTCAACATGGAGATCCCCAGTCACCAATACTTGTGAAAATCTACATAAAAAGATGGATTTGGCAGCTAGACCATCAACATGAGGTAGAAAATCTGCCTGTGGCTGCACACATATCCAGATAGGGACAGACACAGACTTGGACCCTGATCCTGCCTACAGAGCTTGCCACCCGGCTGTTACTGCTGCCACTCTCCACATAATTAAACTGCTTCTGCCACTTTGGGAAACCAGACACTGTCTGAGAAATTCCAGTTGGCTTCCTGTAATTGCTGTTAACAAGGCTCCAAACCAACCTTACTGCCACTCTTCCTTGTGGGGATAGGTAACTCTACTAGCCCCAAACCTGTCTCTGTTAAAATGACTCGAGATGAGAAAGGCATTGACAAACTGGCCCATTGTCTAGTGCTAGTGTTTTCCCAATCCCATTTCCTTACTGTCTGCTGGGGCCCAAAAATTCATGCCAATAATTCACCAGTCACATATCACTGATAATTCTACTCTTTTGTACTGGAAGATGGGATACATGACACATGATCAACATTCAGTAGGTGACATCAAGCACCATAAAACAATGATACAATATTGCCAAATGGCCACTAAGTGCTGACTATCTTGAATTTAACACACGGTAAGATGAGGTTAAAATGTCTGCAAAATACAGTGGTATTTGTTACTCCTATCAATTGGATTGATGCTAGTCAACAGTTTAAGTTCCACTTGCAGGTTGTAACTCATCACACACACTAATTGATCTCAAGAATTATTCTAATTCAGTTCATGCAGGGTGTTGCTCTGAACAACAATATTTTACAATAAACATACACCAAAAAAGGGGAAAATGCTACATTAGGCATTAGGCATGCTGGATTGGAAGTCTGTCAAGAAGTACAGCAAACTATTAGGAAGGCTAATGTAAATATTAGTATTGTATGCATAAGAGAGGTCTTTGCCTTTTTCGATAGAGTCAAAGTCCAATGTTTTGTTTACTTACTTGATATGCAACTGTGCAGAATCGAACTGCTTTCGTGACAATGTATATACACACAGAGGTTTTTTATGAATAAGGTATATTTTTGAAATTTGAAAAAATCTAATGCAATGTTAGTCTTTATTGCAAGAGGAATTAAGTGCAGTGGTAATGTAGTCTTGCTTTAATTGTGTAGAATTTGGTGAGATCACTCATGAAGTACTGTTTGTAGTTTTGGTTTATTTATCTTAGGAGAGATATTTTTGCCACAGGGGGAATGCAACAATGGTTCACCAGACATGTTCCTGGGATAGCAGGGCTGTCTTCTGAAGAGAAATTGGGCGTACGGGGCCTCTATTCTCTCACATTTTGAAGGATGAGAGGTGATCGCATGGAAAATACAAAATACTCGAAGAGATAGATAAGATAGACGCAGGTAAGATATTTCCCTTTTGAGGATTCTAGAAGCAGTGGACACAAGTTAAAAGTAAGGGGGTAACAGTTAGGTTTGATGTGAAGAGAAATCCTTTACTCAGAGGGTGTAAGCATTTCAAATTCTCTACCACAGAGGCCTGTGGAAGGTCAATCTTTGAGTACGCTTATGGTAGTGGTTGATAGATTTCTGGGCATTTCTGATTACCGATAGGGTACAGGGGTATGGGGATGGGGTGGGTAAAGACACTGAAGTGTTTGACCAGCCATGATCGTATTGAATGGTGAAGCAGGAGTAATGGGCTGAACAGCCTCTCTTCCAGTGTTCACATCATTCACATCCCCAATCTCCTTTTAAAGGAAATTCACTAACATATATAACTATAAATTATTTGAAAAAAATCAAATCCAGCTCACAGCTGAAGCAATGTAGTTTTGCATTTTAGGAGTGGGAAAATGTATTTTATTATTAAATTCAAATCGACAAACAAAAACAGTTAAGTTTGTTATTTAAGAAGTTTCTAATGACTGAACTCTTCTTAAATATTGCCAAATATTCCATTGTGAATATTAAATAACCTTTGGCTAACAAAACTATTGTATTTTATCAATGTTTGTGTTGGAAAGCACGTCAGTCTGTGATCTGAGCAACAAAAAAGTGCATGACTTAACAGGTCTTTCTTAATGAGACTGATGATCAGTTTCTTTAGCACTATTTATCTTAGCTAATTACAGTGAGTGTGAATTATCAATTACAGTTAGAGGTAATTGCCCTTCATACAGAAAGCTTTTTTAGTTCATTCAGGGCCATTAATATAATGCTACAATTAACGGTCACATTTACATTACCAATATATCTCCATTGTTCTAAACTGTGAAGTAATTTCATTTTTCACAGGAGAGCTTCTCTTAATTTACTGATGCAATTGACTGAATAACTAGAGAGACTGTCATGGGGCTAATCAGTGATAATGAATTATCCTTTGACCTTGTAAGGGTAATGCACAACACATGCTCCCTCTGGATAACTACAGTTGACATCTGCTGGAACTTTCACTTTCACCGAGTTTGTGTTTGCATATCGAGTCAAATACAGCTAATTATTTGGAACATGCATTTGTTCTGATAATTACGGCAGAATCATCTCACAACAAATCAACACCAGTGAATAGAATAAAAAAGATATTAAAAGAATATCACCAGTCCAAGTTAAAACAATGTACTGGAAACCCCTGGTAGGAAAGTGAAAATAAAGGTTGTCATCAGTTTAGGTGCCACCAAAAGTTCAACCTTTCTTCGCTTACAGATGTTTTTTAAACATTCTCCAGCAAGAAGAATTTGGCTTTTTGTATAAAGACACAGAGTATGTCACAAATGCAGAGATTTCAGAAGAAAACATGTAACAAAAGGTGATAATTATCTGTAAGTTAGAACATAATTATTGTCATCAAAATTCATGGACTTTTGATTCTAGACATTCAGGGATAAAATATACAATTTAAACAGTCAACTTCTTTGAAGTTATAAATTTTGCACCCAATTTTTACAGTCAAAAATGAAATTTTGAGCTTTATGTTTACTCTTTCAGCAAAGCATGACACAATATTTGGTGCTGATGTTTACAGAATGATAGATGGAAGGGACTCAAACGATACTCTCAAGGATGGAATTTTCAACAGCACTCATCCTTAGGTCCACATTTCGAACTTGAGGTTTGTCTGGGTTGCAGAGTGTTATAAGACTGGCTGTGGAACAGGGAGTACACTGTCATGCATTAAAACAACTACCACAAGAGTTTGTAAGTTAACTTTAAAATGATAGTTCCTTAGTAGATCATCATAGAATCCCTACAGTGTGAAAACAGGCCATTCGGCCCAACAATTTCACACTGCCCCTCTGAAGAGCATCCCACCCAGACCCATTCCTCTAGTCTAACCCAACTAATCTAAACATCCCTGGGCAATTTAGCACTGCCAATCCATCTAACCTGGACATCTTTGGACTGTGGGAGGAAACCAGAGCACCTGGAAAAAACCCTTGCAGACACAGGGAGAATGTGCAAACTCCACACAGACAGCCGCTCAAGACTGGAATCGAACCCGGGTCGCTCGTGCTGTGAGGCAGCAGTGCTAACCACTGAGCCACCGTGCTGTACTATTTGGTTGTAAACTTAATTCCCTGAAATGATCAGCCATGCATGAGTTATTGTTGTTATTCCCTTTGCCCTATAAAAGCCAACACCCAGGACAAGCTAGTTTCCCTAAGGTGCCAATATAGCTCTCAGGCTGCCTCACAGAAGACAATTCAAATTGGAATCATTTAAAAAGACAAGTTTATAATGGCAGTCATCCTTCTGTTCATTTTCTACCATGAGACTTCAATGCCTAGTAAGTAAAGTCCAAGGCACTTAGATATGCTGACAAAATTAAGGTCAGTATAAAAACAAAAGATTTTGGTTTGATATGAAGAACCTTGCATTCTTACAGCATTGCACACAGTGCAGTATTGATTGGGCCACACAGAGAACAATCCTTGCTGTTGACTCCATGTTCAATTCTACTTAAATGTGATGTATCCAAAGCTAATAAAAGGCAAGTTCTGAAAATGTTTCTCAATTATCCTTTTCTTCACAAGATAAAGGATGGGTGATATCTATAGTGTCAACTCTACATTATCAATTCTTCCATTTCCAACACTAAGCCATCCTTGAGGGTTCCAGTTAAAACTGCCTACTGCAGATATTGTAACCAACCTGCTCGGACGTCTTACGACACATCTTTGGAGCAGATGGGTCTTGAACCTAGGCCTCCAGCTCAGAGGTAGGGACACTACCATTGCATCACAAGAGCTGAAACTACCATTTGAATACCATGGGCAATTCAGAAGCATGCTCTGCAATCTCAAGAAGTTTTGTTTGGACTGTTTCCAAGCTCATTTCAGAAGGCCCTTTATTGCCTGCATCTCCTCTGAATTTAAATCCAGGTCTGAGAGGTGGAAGGAGAATCAACTAATTAATTAGGGATTTATTTGGTTTGCTATAACGGTGGTTTATAGTATTTTCCCCTTTTGGATTTTTTTTGCTCTTTACACACCCTGAAAGGCAGAGAGGAAACTAATGTTTTGCCAGATCATCATTGCTTCTCTAAAACTGGTAAGGAGGTATTAGACTGTGGCTTTACAATGATTATACAAAGCAATTTTGTGTTACAGTGGGTGAAATATTAGCATTTGGCTCTGGGTTCCAATCCAGCCTGGACTGATAGAATGGAAATCTGCTCTGTATCCTGACTAGAAGAGACCTTTGCAAGATAATTTACGCCGTTTCTATCCCATTCCTAGTAAGCACAAGCTCACATCCTGTTCTAACCTGGAAATAATTGGAAATTTCACTCATCTCCAGAATGAAAGAGTAGAAAATGGAATATATGTCATGTTGATACAGTAGAGGTGAACTTTCAAGGTGCAGAGTGAGGCATATTGTTGGATTATAATAGTGAGAATTTTGTATCTGCCTGTTCTGCAACTGACTTGAGAATGGCCGTGCTTAATCCTTATAGTGCGTCTGGGAGGCGATGGCCTAGTGATATTATTGCTAGACTATTAATCCAGAGACACAGATAATGGTCTCGGACCTGAGTTCCTATCCTACCATGACAGATGGTGGAACTTGAACTTAATTTTTTTTAAAATCTGGAATTAAGAGTCTAATGGTAACCATGAAACCATTGCCGATCATCAGGTTCTGGTTCCATCTTGTTTACTAATTTCCTTTAGGGAAGGAAATCTGCCATCCTTATCTGGTCTGGCCTATAGTATGACTACAGACCCACAGCAATGTGGCTTACTCTTAATAATTAAGGATGGGCATTAAATGCTGTCCTCGCCAACAATGCCTACATTCTATGATTAAATAATGAATTTTAAAAAAGGAGAAATCCAGTAACCAACACTAATGTTATCATTTGATTTGTTTAAAAAAAATTAAAAGATTGAAGTCACTCTGTTTTTTTCCCTGTACCATATTCTGCTCATCCACATACATAGTCCATTCCCATGATGCCACTGATAACGGAAATTCAGCAAAGTCTGGGCTTAGGATGGATAGGGGCAGGGGCAAGTGTCAGTAATGATGTCACTTACTGTTACTACTATGAAGTATAAAATACAGTACATTCTCTGACAAATTCATTGTCAAAGTACAAATGATTTTAGAGCTGAAACAATTGTAAAGAACCAAATATAAACATATCCCTTTCCCTGGACTAATTTCTGAAAGATTATTTTCCCCTTTCTTTAGATTTCTTAAGCGCACAGAATTCGTTTTCCAAACTGAATGGGTGACTGACCACATAACATGTTCCCAGGTCCTGAACAATGTTATTCTATAAATTATCCAGATCATACCACAATTATTCAGGGGAAGAGGGTACACTCTGGTCTCCAGCTACCTGCATCTTCCCAAAACTTGGAAAGAGACTCTGTTCAGTGTACGAGGCAAACACAAAGTGATCCATTCCATCTCAAACCATGTTGTACAATGCTGGCTAATCTATGGAAATGCTGTATTAACTGCCTATACAGCCACTCATCATTATCAGATAAAATGAAGGACAGTCAGAGGAGTTTAAAAGTTGGTTGAAGATCTGTAGCTTAGCCACTACAAGATTGCTTTGAACTGACCTTTACCTCGCCCTAACAGGTCAACAGTCTGATGATGCCCCACAATGCAATTACTGAGCGTCAGATGTGCAACTCCTTACAAATCACCCAGAATTCTACACATCTGCTGGCTGTCAGCATCTGCCACGCTCAGTCATGTGCAAATAATGAAAAGCATTTGTTATTGCCCCAGAACAGGTAAGCATTATGACAATTACTGCACATCCCAACTGACCTTGTGTAAATCTAAATCCCATGACCCCTTTAAGCCATGGGTATTTGGATGTTGTAAGTGATCGACATCAATGAATGAATTTTGGACAAATCCTATCTTTTTCAGTTACCAGCTGGATGTGACAGAAGAGGTGCTCAGTTTTTGCACAATGTTGAAGAATGCAAATATTCCCCAGTTGGAATATTTAACTAGGCAGCAGTACTTGGTTAAGACTTCAGAATAACTTTGCTTTAATCCTACGTGTCAAACTAATAACACTGCTTACTGCTCTGAGCCACATCCAGAAGCTCTCTGTGTCATTAGCAGTAAACAGGAACATGTAAAATCTGGCAATGGAATTGAGTGACTCCTGTTCCGATTGTGAAAAACCTCCTTCATCTGCAAGGGACTATTGTGCAATCAGGTCTGTCTGTGTGCGAAACACAGAATCATCTCCAGTTTGATAACGAAATTCAGAGATAGCACAGAACAAGTGAAATGGAAATGGGATAAAAGTGCCAGACAGATACAACAAAGAGTGCTCAAAGGCTGGGCAAACTGGAATGAAATGTACACTGCTACATCTCACCTGAAACCACTTAATTCTCAAACAAGACACCAGTTATAGGGAAAATGTTTAATTTATTAGCACTAAGATCTCTTACTTTGCAAACAAAATTATATAAAAACAGTGATCTCAGAAAGTAGTGGCCATGGATACAAATACCTGAACACGGAAGGGATTTACAAAATGCTTTGGATCATATCAAGTCCAAACTTCATCGGAACAATTCAAGCTGGAAACTGAAGTTCCACGATCACGGGGTGCAGCCGATTTCCTTGGAGGGTACAAAGTCTGCGCACAGCAATCAGGCCAACCTGGGGTGTTATGATTTACACAGGGTCACGTATGGTAAACATGGATACAAATCCAGAGTGCAAGAGTCTAGATTCTAGCACTTGATTTCATTGCAATTCATGGGATCAATTTTCAATTTAAAATCAGGTTTGCGCTTAGTGTTTGAAGTGTGGAGGAACTACACTTCCAACTACAATAATTTCTCAAAGAATGATTCTCAAATGTATCTAATCCACACCACATAACACAAGTAGGTTTCAAGTTAAAAGTTATCTTGTCTCCAATCCATCCAGCTTCTACTACGTGTAGAATACTGAACTGAACTGATTACTTAAGGTACTTCCTATAAGGAAATGTTACTTACTGGTGTATTTCACACATCCTCACTGAAAGGGCAGGACAACAGAATGGCACCCTATTCCAACCTTTTCAGTAATAAGACATACTTCAATGAGACAAACAATTCTACAGCGTACCCACTTTTTCCAGATGAATTGGTTATTCATAATTGCCACTTTTAATTACATTTACTATGTTATGGTCTATCTAGAGAGGTTTACCACATAGTGCATAAAATAAGCTAAAGAAGGATCAAAAGTTTTATGTTTCAAATCCACTGCTGAAAATAAAAAATAAAAAAAACTGGTCTTTGACTGCACGTAGAGACACTTTCAAAATCTGCTCAACCTCATTATTTCTCACTATTCACTAACAAAACTGAAAGGAGAGTAAATTGCAGTTTACCAGGTTATTGGGAACCTGGGCATGCTGGTGCATGCACAGCCTTTGGATCTGGGGAGGAATTGATGAGAAGCCACCTGAAAATTTTGCTCCACTGACAAGCCCTCACTCTTGTCATTTCTCATGCTCGGCACTAGCTCGCCAAGATATTTTGTTGCAAACAGCAACAGTACAGCAATAGCATGGTCAGACATTGTTGAATATTCACACACCACAGTCAGTCAAAATCTCCAAACTTTAGCTTCATTGTCATATCCACCTCTTGCCAAAGGTCAGGTTTTGACCTGAAACCTTAAAGTTTATCATATCATTCTACCGTTTCTGAACAGTTCTTGCTTTTCTTTGAGTTCAGATATTTCATTGACTAAATTAGCAGATGAATTGCTTCTTCAACAAGCAACTTTTCTGTTTCTTCATAGAATCTAAGACTTCGATCAGTGGCATAACTAAAAAGAAAATTTTAAATATATTCATGTTAGATCCTATTCTCTCCAGGTCAGCTCTTGCTTATTTGTGAATTACCTTAAGTTGGTGTCCTCTCGTTCAGGTTCCCTCCACTAATAATATTCCCTCTAAGCAGCCACTCTGAGGTTCCTGACATTCTGGTTTTGGAAGCATGGACTTTGGAGGTGTGCGTACTGTAGAAAAGTTAGAGGATGCATTGTCCATCAATGGAATCAGTTTCTTCCTACCTCCTCTATTCAGACCTCTCACTTTTAGCAAATCACCTCTCAACATTTTCTTCTTGAAGGAAACATTCTGAGATTCACCTATCCAACCACATAACTGAAGTCTCTCATCCCTAGAACCATTCTCTTAAATCTTTTCTGCACTGTGTAGAAGAACTTCATGTTTCCTAAACTGTGGTGACCAGAATTAGAAAGGAAGCAACAGGATATTAACAAAAGGCAGAAAGAAACAAAGCCTTTCACAAATCGTACTCCTATGTAAGCTTACTTTCTCAATAAATCTCTAAAACACAGCCTTACGTATTTAAAGAAACAAAAATTGAAATACCACAACTTGGACCTGAATATGTGTGCAGAGAGAGACTGTCCATCTTAGTGAATCATGAATACTGAAACCTGCTCCCCCACTGCCACGAAGTGCCCCCCCGCCGGCACCCCCTCACCCCGCCCCTCACACCACCCAGCCATTTTTTGCAGGTGGGTAATTTACACATCCGTGATTCACAGAGACACCTGTCTCAGTCTGCTCTTTTCTTATGGGATACATGGATATTGAACTGTAGGACTTGTAAATGCATGCTATAGTTTGTCTAAAGTTTGAAGGTGTTCCATAATTTGGCAGATTGTGTTTTGATCTTCTGTGTTAAAACTTCTCTCCATATGAGTATACTAAATAAACAACCATTTCCCATTCTCCTGACCTCTATCAATTTGCCAAGTTAACCCATATAATAGTTGGCATGTTAGCTGTAAGGGCAAAGCATGGTGATTTGGGCACATGGGTTGGTGTCAGTTGGCACAGAGGTTACAAGGAGACACGTGGGTTGACTAGAGGGGTATAGGCTGGAACTAAAGGTACGAGGCACCTTGGGATACAGATAGACAGGGCATAGTTTGGGATGGAGGGAATGAGGGCAATAGAGGTGAGTAGTAGGGCACAGGTTGGCATGGATTGGATATGCACGGTGTTGGGGGTGAGGACTATTTTAAAGGTGGGACAAGGGCTGGAGCAGTGAGGTGGGCCATTCAACCAACTCATCCCTACGTTGGCATCCCTGTGGCTGTTTCCAAACACTTTTCACAGTCGGCAGCCACAAATTCCATATCTGCACCCCTTCCCCAAACCAAAATTAAAATTCAAAATTCCAGGACATCACCTCCCGGAATCATCCTGACATAACCTCGGATCAAAGTTTCACACCTTAGAACACGGAGCTTGACCAACTACTAATTTATTCTCACCTGTGGGGTCCTGAGTGTGGAAATGTGGTATTTTCAAGATGTGATATTTGTTATATTGCTCTCTCCAAAGTTAGTTCCATAATAACTACCTTCTTTAATTCCATGTTAATCTTTTCACAATGCATTACACAACTAGAATGTTACACAATTCCAAACTTGTGTAATGTATCACAGATACTATTGTTGCAATATTCTATCCAGTTTTAAATTAGGTGGTGTAGTTGGATTGTCTATGACCCAATTACACATCAGGTGACTTGGCCTTTCATTTTAAAGCATACATTTAGAGCACTAACATGAAGTACGATAGTTAAAAATGTTTCTGTTATGTGATCAGTTTAATACACAAGGTATTTTCTCATCAAGCACCTGAAATATATTGCCACTCAGCATACTTCTGCTTTACCAGGAAACCACAACAGTAAGCTGATTCCATGAGCTACTAAAAGCTATCCTGCAGACGCAGCAAGCAATTAGTAATTATATGTTGGCCTTCATTGCAGGGGGATTTGAGTATAGGAGTAAAGATATCTTGCCGCAGTCACAGCTGGAACACTAGGTATGGTTTTGATTTCCTTATCTCAAGAAGGATATACTTTCCCTTCGAGAGAGTGCAATGGAGATTCACCAGATTTATCCCTGGGACGATGGATTGTCTCCTGTTGAGAGACCGAGTAAACCAAGTCTGGATTCCCTGGAGTTTTGACGAATGAAAAGTGTGTTCACTTCCAAAATTCTTTCAGGGCAATGACAGGGTGAATGTAAATGTTTCCTCTGGCTGAGTCTAGAACTGGGGCCATAATCTCATGGCCATTTAAGGCTGAGGTGAGGAGGAATTTCTTCACTTAGTGAATCTTTCGAATTCTCTACCCAGAGAACTGTGGAATCTGAACCATTCAGCATCTTCAAGATATAAGTCAATAGATTTCTAGAGGCCAAGGATGTTAAGGGATACAATGCAGAAAAGTGGCATTGAGATAGATGATCATCTGGGATCTAACTGAATGGTGGAGTAGACTTGGAACAGGAGTAAGCCACAGAATTTATGTTCCAAAAGTAGCAGCATAAACGGTCAGATAAATCATTTTGGTTTTAAATCAATGTGGATCTTATTTGTCTATTTGGTTTAATCTTGGAATTTGGTTCATGAGTGTCAGCAATCTCCAAACCCTCCTACATGTTTCTGTTGTCAGCATTTCACAATAAGGACACACAGTGAAAAGCTTCCTGTGAAAACCTCATGCATCAGTGTATATTCTCCATCAGTTGTTTTGAGGTTTACGAATATTTTGAGGGGGTGGGAGGGGACAGAGTTTCACACAAAACTCTCCAAATTTGTTAATTATAAAACACCGAGAGCAGGTCCTAGACGTGCTCACCAAGCTGGTTTGGTTGCAAACGTTTCATCGCAAGTGTTTTGTCACCTGCTAGGTAACATCATCAGTGCACCTCC